GTGGAAGGGCAGGACCTGTTGGAGCAAGTCCAGAGAAGGGCCACAAAGATGATCAGAGCACTGAAGCACCTCTCCTATGAAAACAGACTCTTCATAGACAGACTGGGTTTGTTCAGCCTGGAGAAGAGGCTCCAGGGACACCTTACAAGAACCTTCAAGTACCTAAAGGAGGCTACCAGAGAGTTGGAGAGGGACAATTCACAGGGCAGGACAAAAGGGAATGGCTTCAAACTGAACGAGGACAGGGTTAGATTAGATATTACAAAGAAATTCTTACTGTGAGGGGGGTGAGGCACCAAAACACACTGCCCAGAAAAGCTGTGGATGCCTCATCCCTGGAAGTGTTCAAAGCCAGGCTGGATGGGGCTCTGAGCAAGCTGGTCTAGTGCAAGGTGTCCCTGCCCATGGCAGGGTGGTTGGAACTAGATGACCTTTAAAAGTCCCCTCCAACGTAGGCCATTCTATGATTTTAATTCAAAGTCAATCCCTCAAGGCTAGAAGACAGTAACACACCCTCTTAAAGAAATAGGTGTCAAGAGAAGACAGAAGAGTTAGAGACCATTTAGCCTAATTTCAATTTCCAGAAAAAATGCTTAGCTACATACAACCAGAAAAAACAATAGTAAAAGCTAATAAACACGGACGTGAAGAAAACCAGTCAAGTCAAACTAACTTCTCTATGACTCAATAGGCTTTTTCAGAGGACCAGTACAATCTCAACATTTGACATTTGCATTATGTTCTCAAAACTGCTACAGAAAACATGGTCTAGTAAGAACAAAGAGGGGGCAGTCTTGTCTGTGCTCATGTAATCATATCAATCATATCCTTCATATCTTTCCTCTGAACATAGTGTATCCTCACGAAACCTGCAGGTATCACAAAGCTGCAAGTCTACTGTAGGAGAGGATCAAAACTAACAAGATCTTGAAACTGGAGAAGGGGTCTGAATGTAAAGGTTGTAATTCAATTTGAAATAAAGCAAAAACTACACTCACACATATATAATGAACTGCATAAACATAAAAGGGGAGTAACTCAACTACAGGAGCTGCTGCTACAGCAGATCACAAACTGCTCTGAAAAAAGAGAAGGAATGATAACTAAGAGCAATAATTTGCAAGACACTTACAGCCATCTTCTCAGTCTTTGACATCAATACACCAGGCAAACACTGCCCAGGACACAAACAGGACAACTGAAGAGAGCGTAAGGGGAGAGCAGTAAGACCAATAAGGATGTAACATGTAATGGTAGACTGAAATAACTCAAAATTCCATCATCTGGTGGGGGAGGAAAGGAATATAGGGAAAACTGAAAGAAAAGGATAAATTGTTTGCCTTGTCCAATAAGATCAGAATAAAAGGATAAGAGGACAAATAAGAAAAAAATTGTTTTATAGCAGATTTCTTTGGAAAGTGTCAAATCACCTAAAGATCTCCAGCAAAAGACATCAGACAAGGATTTGTCATATCTGGCTTAAAAACAGTTAATCTTTTCTTGAAGCACAGGAATTGTTGGGTATTGCTCAGCATTTTACTTCATCTGTACTAAGAAGTTGCCTCTGGGACAAGACAGTAAAATCAATGCACTAAGCATTGTTCCAGTTACACATCAAGTTTGTGCTTTGGGGTTTCAGCAAGGCAATAAAAATTTACACTTGCACAGCATGAGGACAGTAATGTGTTCAAAATATTAGTGGCATTTGTTCTCAACAGAAGTAAATAGCTTAACTCAAGTGATGTAAGCTGCAAGTAGGGGACAAAAGCTGATTATTTACATTCTTTAAAATCCTCCTAAGAGCCTGACAAGATTCACAGCTATCAGGTAACTGATGCAGCTGTTGCCATCTACGCAAATGGTGGAGCCCAGGGATGATGGAGCTACAGAGAACAGTTTTCCACTGCCTGAAGGACTGACTGACTGGCTACAAGGTTATCCAGACTAATTCCATTTTGCCCAATTACACAAACAATCTGACTAAGCCTTTCAGTCAGTTCACAAACAGCTATCCCAGTAACTCAAAAAAATTTTGAGTACTGAAGCACCAAGCTAGGTGACGAAAAACTCCCCAATTTCTCTCCCTCCAAAATTTAAAAGCTAATTCTGATTAGACAGAACCAGCTCCAACACAACTTCCTCTCTCCTGTGCCTGCTGTACCTACTCTCACAAGCTTCTGTCCACTTCTAATCTAACAAGTAAAATTATATTACTCATGGCACAGGTGTATTGGGAAGGACAGTGAGAGGGGATTAATTTCAACTCTACAATTGTGAAAACGAAGTAAATTACTTGAAAGATGCAGACTTTCCAGGTAAACCTAGGAGAACTCCAACCATTTTGACCTCACCAACAGAATTTACTGTGAAATCTGCCCCTTGCCACAGAACCCGACGACTTCAAAATAAGCATTACTTAAAATAAGAAAACCTCATCTGCCACAAAACAGAAGGTGGAAGATTATCAAGTAGTACTAAAATGATGAACGTCAGAAATAAAAACTGATAAAACACACTACAGTACTTTCCATTTCAGGCTTAACTCGTCCTTCTCTTTTTTAATACTTTTTTTAGATATTTTTAAATACTTAGGTTTGTCAGACTGATTACATGTGCTACAGTGAGTTCTCAAAAACAACCAAAGAACCTCATTTAGCCTCATTTCAGTGTTTTAGTTAAAATTAGCAAAGCAATACCCAAGTTTCTTAAGACTAATGAAGTCCAAGACACATACTCAAAGCAGACTTGATAAAACCAACTTCCTATTTAAACCTCAGAAAACAACTCACTCTATACAACAACTGGTGGCCACTGCTCAGGCAGCTCAGGACCACAGCACAGAGCTTGGGCAATGTAGGAACAGAAAACTACATTTAAAGTTTCATAAAATTATACTGCAACAGCATATTGGAATTCCTTTGAAAGATTCATAAAGAATTCAGTGAGACAGAAGAATGTTCTCAATCTGCACAAAATATAGCAAGTCGGAACAGAGAATACTAAGCTAACAAAACATTTCAACCGTAGCAGATCACCTGAGTAGGACAAAACAAACAACCAAAGAAAGACAAAAATAAGGAAATTATAGAGAAAAATAGAATCAATAGCTAGGTAACCAAGATACTAACTTAAATATTCCAGGAAACAAGGACGCTGCACAGAAGACAGTAAGTCTGATCTATGTTTGTACACATTATTTGTAGTCCATATACCCCTTATTTAGCAAAAATACAAGGAGCCAAGCATTCTCTGTCAAGCAACCAAACCAAGAAGTGATAAAATGCCATGAAAACTAAGGAAAAAAACTGAGAGAACACAAAGGAAAAGAAGATACCAGAACTAAATCTCCAGCCAAGTAAAACACAGCTTAGAAGACAGACCATGGAGCTGACCAGTTGAATGCTATAATAATACAGTTTGGTTTCTTTCTTCTACCAGTCTCTCTCTGCTTCTCCTTCACCTACACAAAAATGGGAATTATGATCACAACCCCAATGAACACAGGACTGATTTAACTACAGATCTTGATGTTACTACTGTAATACTGATTTACTCTATCCCTTTAGTAAAATAATTCCATTATAATTCACAACAACAAAATTTGGGCTTTTCTTAACCATGTCCTTAGGGTAGATACTGGCACACAGCTATTCTTGCATTAATGCTGCCCAAGATGACAGGCTGGACTTAAGGAACATACTCTGATGGACAGATTCAGCCGTTTTTATATAAAATGGCCACAGACAGAGCAGCTCTGGAGAGCTGCCCATGTGATTTTTATTATTAATGATTCAGTTTACATACTAAAAAAAAAACCAGTGACTATAGTTCAGAGAATATTCATAACCCATGGCAGTAGATATTTTCTTAACCAGCACTGCTAATGTTCTCTTGTAGCAGCATTTCAGTTCTGCATATCCTTCTGGATAACACACACCTGAAATTCATCAATAAATGCAAGTGTTCTACGCAAATGTTTATGTAGCCAAAGGCAAAAAGCATGTTTTTCATCAAAAAGATGACAGTGTAACTTACACCTGAACTCCTCAAAATTGTGTAAAAAGTGTAGACTAAAACAGTTTAAAGGTGATCCGTACAACATCTAAATTCACAAATCATGGAGTTAAATGGGCAAATGTGAGATAAAGTGGATATAAATAAAACAGCACTGAGTTTCTTCATAAGTTGTTTCAGAGTATCTGTATAGGTTTTACACAATACCCTCATCACCAAGGTGGAAATCTTAGAAAGCTAGACATTTTTCCCCCTGAAGACCTGAAACATGAATAATTTATATACAACAGAAATGGATATTCTACAGCAAGTTAATAAATAGCAGAGATGATCTTCCATCAGTAGCTGTTGTTAAGAGCGTATACAGTCATTTCCCTCCAGAAAGTCAAGAAAAAATAAATTAATTAAAGGCTGGCTGACATTTTGCCACGTAACTTAAGAGCTTTCCACAGAATACAACCAAGTGGGGGGAAATGCAAGTGGCTAAGGACCAAAGCAGTAGTCATGTTAACAACCCAGTTGTCCTTTAACGACCAATTTCGAAGACTCAAACTACAAATACAACTAAATAATTCTTCCCTACACAGGTTTTATGTATAACATTGTATTAAAGCATTTCAGTTTTATGAAGAAGTTCACACAGACAAACTACAGTTTGGACGCCAAGACAGCCATAGCTAAACCATTTCAACCCTCCAAAACTCACACAATTAAGCTTCAGCTACAGAAACAAATCCAAAGAAACCTACACACACAGGCATGCAAACACTTCCCCTCCCCCATAAAATCCAATTTTATGTCTCAGTTAACAGGTTTCTCATCTTCAGTATTGCAGAACTGACTTATTACTTAAAGAATTCCCTTGTTTCTAGTCTTCTGTGTCATCCACACAGCACAGCTAACAGCAACTACTCTAAAAAAACCCCCATTCACAGTTGTTTGAAACCATTATATGATTTTAGAAAGTAAAATGTATAACCTCTTACCTGAGCATGAAAATTTGACATAGTCGTTGTCTCTATATCTTTCTTTCCCAAAATCTCCATTTTCACTGGTGAATTGGGAAAATTAAACGAAAAGTAGTCTAAAAAGTCAGGTAAATAAGTAGCTGCCCCATGAACAATACCCATTACATAGTAAGCTGCACAGTTTTCATTTTCACTAAAAACCAGACCCACAAACTCTTCTGCAAATCTCTCCATCTCCACAGGAGACAAGTGGGAGAGTTCATTACTGTAGGCATGGATAACTGATGCACCTCCGTTAGGCTGGTGCTCAATATGAATCAGCTGTTTGAACTCCAATGTGTCCAACCTTTTGAGTTTATTTTGAACCCGTGGCTCCTTTAACGAGACAAATGGAAACTCACTGTTCTCTGGTATCTTGGACTCACAGTCCTTCTTGGGATCCATATTTTTCCCACTGAAATCCTTAAGATGATCATCTATGATGCCTTTGGTTTCCTGATCCTCAATATCAGAAACCAATCCTGAGCAGATGGTCTGAATGGATTTGCTGTACATTTTTGGACGCTTCCTCTTCTCATTCTCTTTATGTTTCTTTTTCTTTTTCTTCTTAACTTTTTTAATCTGTAGCTCTTCTGCATTGGTTTTTGGTTTCTCCTTCCCACCTGTTGAGAGGAAAAAATCTCTTAAGACTCTATATATACAGAACATGTACTTAAACACCAGTATTCCAAGTTACCAAAACCCCCACCGTGGCACAAAAGACCAGGGACCAAAAGCAAGGATCACAGTGTGTATTTAAACAAAAATGAGGGGAGTAAGAAACACCTGCGAAGTTCACATTCTGACTGACAAATAAGCTGACAAATAAGGGAAGGACATCACAAAAAACCAAGTTTCCCAAGGCTGCTTTCATGACGAGTCACAGTCCTTCATCATTCCCTTTAACTGGTCATCAGCAGTTACTGTCCCAGAAAGTCCAGAGATGTCACAGGACAGCTGTCCAACGCTGCCAAATAGTATCAACCAGCAGCAGTGAGCTGTTCACAAGGCGCCACTACTAAAACCTACCGTCAGATGGGCTTTACATGGTCATTCTTTCATAACTAAATAAATTGTGTTGAAATATATGTGGGAACATCTAAAAAGTGACATATGAGAAAATAAATAGAATTCAAACGAAACAAAACACACATTAATGAAAACGCTCACAAAACAGAAACTAGCTTCAAGTTTACATAATACACAAACTGAACTGAAAACAAAGTGTAATGGCCTAAAGGCAGAAAGCACTCATTTGGGGATAACATGTTCAAGTGATTCCCAAGGTAAATGCTCTCCCTTGTTTTAAAGTGTTTTCCTTCAGGTGCTTTTGGGGGTTTTTTGCAAGTAATAGGAGTGGGAGCAAAAAAAACTTCTGGCACTACACTGCCCAAAAATCTAGCAGTTGAAATGATTTAGCAAATAGTGAAATGAAGTTACTGGGTATATTTCAGTGCAAAATTATATTCACAACAAGTGACTGAAGACCAGCAGGTTCAAAGAGAGAAGCTTAGAAGTTTAGAAACCAAGTATTTCATTGCAAGACCAAGTTATCTCAAATTCACAAGAGTTAAGTTAGCCAGTCTCTACTACTACGCTGCAGGAGACTATTTCTGGCTTGCAATCCTCAGCCCAAGTAACTCATAAGAGTTCTTTAAAAAAAAAAAAAAAAAAAAGGAAAAAAGGAGGGAGGGAGGGAGGAAGGGAGGGAGGAAAGAGAGACCACAACTGTTGGTGCAGGGAATCTCAAATTCTTGCTGATAATTAAGAGGCTTGGACATGGAAAATGCAGCTACTGAAAAGGAGAACACGCAATTAAGACACTTGCCTCTGATCCTTGTGAGGTTTGTGACAGCAGCTACACACCTCTGGGATTCCTAAAGTGGAGGCAGGCAAGCTAGTTATGTCCCTGCATTCTATTTTCTCATGGAGGGGGGAGGAAGAAGTGCCCTGAGGTCACTTTCATTTCTTACTTAGCCCAAACAAGGACACAGCCTCTACAATTTCTTAATCTAATAACTATAAAGATTCCCTTCACTCGAAATCAGATTAACGTGGCACACTCTGAGAACAATTTCACTTTTAGCTAACAAAGTTCAACTGCCAAAAGGCAGAGTATCCTCAGAGTATCTGTCCTTTCTTAAACTAAATTTATTGTAAAACTAGCATCACCTCTGCAACAGGACTGTTTCATCTGGTAGATGCAATATTCACCCACTTCTTTGTCAACATCTTTCTTCTGTAACAAGTCTTTAAATCTAATGGGCATGAAAAGACCAGGAAGAGCAGCAACACATGTAAAACTAAGTACCTCAGTCTTAGAGGAGTACTGAAAATAGTTCATTGAGGGTAGCAGGGTAACTAAGTGAAATGTCACCACCTGACACAAATCACCTAATACTCACATTCTGGAGTATGGTAATGGTGTCATTATGGCACCAACTCCATTCAGAGGGAAAAAAAACCCAAAGAAATGGTTTATGACAGTGGGAAACTCTATATTACAGGCTTAGAAATCTCAATCCAAATCTCAAAACGCAGACTACAGAATAGACATTTTTTCCCCCCTCCTGACTCCAGGGATACACAACCAGAAAGCATCCAAGAACATACAGGTATTTAAAATTCTTAAAAATGCTTTAACTAATAATTTTAAAATTGTTTCGCGCTAAACATGAAAATTTTTTGCTATATTGATGGATATTGCAAAGAAGTCAAACATTTTAAGATATTATATTAGTGTGAGTATAGAAAATATGGATTTATAGCACCAAATGCTGGAGCATGTTGAGGCAGAAGGAAGCAGGAGACACCTGCCAACCCATTTCACTTGTCCTAAAATGGAGCTCAGATTTCTGTGGGACTAATCACTCAGATCTGGGACTTTGTGCACAGCAGGGAAAGGATGGAAATTTCTATTCACTGGGGTGCAATCAGCAATAATAGAAACAGCAACATGTACAAGAATTAAGTGCAAAGCAAGAAGCTATTTGCTATGGCAAGAGCCAAATTTCTCTGTTGTAATTGAACATGTTTATAATGATCACGGAAAATCCTAAGACAACTGAAGATTGGCAACTACATGTTCTTGCTGAATATCCAGGTACAAAATTACATTACATTATTGCTAGTTGAAATGTGAAGTACTTACATGAGATGGGTATGAATCTGTATCTGTGCAAAACTACTTCAAAAATTATTGACTTTCATTCCTACAGTACAAGAATGAAGATGATCTGATTTCCCCTTCCAATCTGTCCCATGCCCTGCCTTTGATTCTATCTTCTGAGAAGTTTTACTGACTAACAACCAGTTTCACTCAACTTCTCCTGTAGTATATGGTGGCTGCTTTTTTAACCCATCACTTACTGTATTTCACAGATGCAGCTGTACAATAAAATAAAAATAAAATACATATATTAAAAACAGTCTGCTACTAAACTACAAAACAGGTTTCCTTAGAGAGGTGGTGGATGCCAGTAAGCAGCACTCAAAAGAGCACAGCCATGGTCTTGAAAGCAGTGGTGCTTTTAAGATAGAAACAACAACAAAACAAAACCAATATAACAATTAAAATCAGACAGATGGAATGTAAACCAGTCTCAAATTATGCAAAGTTCACATGAACGTGTCCAAAAAGGTTTGTGCTCAAAACCAGTTGTAAAAGTAAGTTTTAGTTAAGTTGGTATATATTTATGGAAGCCTTTAAAATCTTAGGAGGAATTACACTAAGACATTCTTGAAGTAAAGAACATTTATCAGTCTCTGTGTTTGTTTTCACACCATCTCTGTGAAAGCTTCAGAAGGGAAAAAAGCTCTCACCCACAGGATAAAAATAATTCTTTTTCTGGTATCCAACAGTCTTCTTTCCAGCTTGATAAGAAATTTTCTGTTCAGCTTTAAATAAATGGATTTTAATACAGTCTGTTTTTACTTTTGAACTCAAGATAAAAGGGTTATGCCATTTACACATATATCAAGTATTACAATTCATCAATACACACTTTCCCAAATGATGCTAAGTTGCAAAACTGGTGCACACAATTTGGAATCAAATAAATATTTGCCAACAGCCTCTCATCTCTGAACAAAACTCTCTTCCACAGAATTTTTTGGACCTCTATATATAAAAAGGATAGAACTGAGAACATTTTTAATTCTGAAACACTTGGAAACCAAAGCAGCAACAATCACTGAAGGAACAAGAGGCCGTACAGCAAAAAAAACACCAGAAGATCTAGGATGGAAAGTAGCAGGGACCCCTGAAATGCTACTTGCAACTGGAAAGAAAAAGAAAAATGGTGTTTATCCTGTGAGACAAAACATGAATCAAGAGTCTGAGCTACTGATGGCACTGAAGAGGAAAAAAGCCTTAAAACACAGAAGTCAGAAGATAAAAAGGGTTCCAAATGGGATTTTTCCAAAACATTTCCAGAATTAAAGACTTTCAAAAAAAACTACCTACCAACAAGAATAAAACTTAGTTCTCTAAACTAATTCAAGCAGGAATTAAAAGGTAACATCACTTCAAAAACTAATTGTCTCAAGCCTTTTTCAAATTCACACAGGCTTTTGCTACTGCACACACAAGACAGATTCTGTCAAGAACTCTACTTCATTTCCACACTGGCAGCACATTACGTACTTACAGAAAATTATTCTTAGATATTTCATACACCGTATTTCAAAGAGAAAATATTTATAAAATTATATTGTATACTGAAAGACTGAAAAAATGTGAAATGTCTAATTATTTGTTCAGCCTTCAAATGTGGATATATGACCCAGCCGCCGAGCAAAGTATGAGCTTGCTGCCACGGATGAGTCCAACCCCCCGCTCTCCTCTGCCACTGCTCCTGGCACACAGTCCTGCACCATTCCTACCACTGACTGATGCTCATCTGATTGCACAGTAACTCAATGGCTCAGCAGAAAACTATTCACTTTGCTGCTCTAGATCATAGAACAGAACTTGTTCACAGCGCTGTCCGACGGGAACTAAAGCATGGAGACCACTGAGAGCAGGCACTGGGGGGTACTAAAGCCCACCCCTCATCAGTGGCAGAAAACACTCGATCTGCTCCCCACACCTTCATCTATCCACTTTCAGCGATGAACAAGGCTGAATTTTTAAGGGGGGGGGGAAAGTCCCACCACCTCACACAACAGTACATATAGGAGACAGGATCCATTTCCTAGCAAACCTGAACAGAAGGCTCCCTAACCCCAAAGCCTGAACTCTTCAATTCAACATAGAGGTTACACAATTTATCTTTTAAAGGTAACATTTTAGTTCATTTAACTGTAATATGGATCAGGCTACAATTTCTTCCCTCTGTCCTTTCTTACAGTGAGTGTGGGTGGTGCTGTACAGTGCTCACTCCCCATGCTGCTTTGACATCCACATACACCCAATTTTAGAATATTTATGTTCCATTATTTCAGAATACAGACAGTTTTCCTGAAGACTACAGACACAAAATGAGAAACTGATTTCTAGAAGTAAGCAGGATTTTTTAGCAAAGCTTGAATAGACTGTGACAGAATGTGAAAGAAGCACATTTCTAGCCTAAGGCTTCTGCTCTACTGAATTTCAAAGACCAACTCTGAAGTAGGTATTTAA